AGATATCATAATTGGCCAGACACATACATCTAAATGAATTTGATTATTCCCTCTGTTCCATATTAGTGTTCATACAAACTGTTCACATGGTCAAAGTACATTTTATTTCCTTATATACTTCCATTCATTTGATAAAATAAAATAGTTAAATCACCTCTTATTTTGTAGAACTTTTATCTTTTGATGTAGTTTTCAAAATTATTATTTTTAATTTTATATTTAAACGGAGGGAGTATTTACAAGACCCTAGAAGAAAGTCATCCATTGTGTATTGAGAAGATGCAATTCGAAAAAAGAAAAGACGCTTCCCTTTTCTAGTTGCATATTACTAAGGGAGTGGCAATGCTTAAGGCCTTAGAAGAAGCATCCCTTTCTGGGAATCTACAGGGTGCGTTGTTGTTGTTGTATTGTATACATTTAAGGGAGAGGTGACCCTAAAGGTCTTGGAACAAGCAAATCACGTTTCTTTCTTGTTACTCATGTATAACAAAATAATAACTTCACCAATAATGTCAAATAATGTAGAGTATAATTCTCTTGCACCTTGTTTTGTAAATTCAATTTAGCTTATATTTGATTGTTCTCACTCTTTAACTTTATTGAGTTTCGTTTTGCGTCCTACCCCTTGTACTTTACCTTATTAATAAAATCTTGTTTTGTTAATAAATACATAAAAATTATTGAGTTCATCTTCTCATTAACGTGTTCTATATCTCTTCTCCCAAATTAGGAATCCTTCATTCAATCACATTTTTTACGCAGAAAAATCAGAGGAAAAGATTGGTAGTTTAATACTTAGGATGCCACAAGTCAACTGAGATCCTCTCGTGAGAGTATTAACACCAGTGAAAAAGAATGTCACGTCAAAATTTGAAGCACATAAATAGATGCATCTGTTTAAACATCGGGATATTGGAAAAAAATATTTCAGTCATTAGGGTCCACTAGTATGTGACCATCCACTCACCTGAACTTTTATATATGTTTGTGACTGAAGAGGTTAGGTTTTGAGGACCCTCAGCGCCCTTCGTGCATTTGGCTAGCAAAAAATTGAGTCTTGACTTATGTATGGGTGTCTCCTCAACGAAAGATGGTCCTAAATCATGACAATATCAAGTGAATATTTAAATAATCAAAATTTCATTGCAATTAAAAAACTTGCTGGATGGTGAAAACTAGAAAGGAAAATGAGCTTTTGTGTATCCATATGAAACTACAGTACTTAGAAGCATTGTAAATAACTCATAACATTTATAAAACTTATATTTAAGGATTGTAACCTCAAATTCTGATTAATAAATAAACATTTCAATATTCGTATTGACCAGCACCAGTTGAATCATAAACCCCATCCCCTAAAGAGACTCCACATTTTTTTCTATGTCCCAAAATAAAGTTCCACATTTTCTAGGATAGATTTTGTGGCTCATATTATTCCTCTTTTCTCTATATCAATTTCAACCACAAAATTTTACCTTTATGTTGGACTGACAAAGTATTAAGATAGCCTTTAGTTCTAATTTCTAATGGAACTAAAAGACAGCATTGTTGAATGTGCTTTAGTTTTGGTTAAGCATTTGAGTACAACAAAGTGGCACATTAAACATCAGGTTGTTCTTAACATCTATGTTGTTTTGAATGTAAATGCAACAATGCATCAAGTGCCCAACAAAAACCTCTCTATTTTTAGGAGCAAATCTATGTACATCTGACCCTTAACCCAGTACATTTGACCCTAGAGCTTAAGAGAGTTGTTATTGTATGACGTTTTCAGTAAGTTCATTTTTCTGGAACATCCCAAAACAAAAATAACTCTTTAAGAAAACAAAAAAAGAATTGTGTGGTTCATACAAATTCTGTTATGTAAATGTCAATCACGCAACTTACATTTCAAACTAGGACTAAAATTTTATGCAATTTCAAGAATATAGATTTATACACGTGATCATTTCCAAGAAATGTTTATGCATAAAACATTGAGAGGTCAAGTTTGGCTTTCCAGATTGACAGTTGTAGGTACTGACATTGCCATAGACGATGACTTTAAAACACGGAATTGGAGGCTGAACAAAACTTTTTTGAGTCCCATAGATTAAGCCAGAGTGTAATACTCCGCATAAAACTGACCTGAGGAGCCGGCATTTAATATTGGAGACGAGAAATTGGAGAATTTTATCATGGATAAATCCTGTTTCGAGAGGCCAGAGAACGGGGTTTCAGGCACGAAGGAAGGAATGGAAGCGGATGCCGTGAGACCGAGAGAAGGCTTCTCTGGGGTATGCTCATCATCGATGACGAAAACAGTGGGGTTCGAATCGAGCTCTGTTCTTTGCTTCTTTAAGATGAATGCCAGGGGAGTCGAGAGATCAATAGTATCGTGAGGACGGGAATCACCATCTGGGCTGCGGCGATCGTCGTCGGAGTCGGAGAGTTCTACAGCGACCGGCTCAGGCATTGATATTAGCGCTTGGGTTGCCCCGGTGCGGGATGGTTGCCCACTTGCCCACAGGCCTCAACTAGTCTGGAAGAGGAACTTCCACGCAATAAGACCCAGTACCTACATAGTATCTACTAGACCTGGCAAAACGCTCGGTCAGGTCGGGTCCGGATTCGGTAAAGTCGGGTTCGGGTTATTTCGAGTTCGGGTCACTTTGGGTTCGTGTCTAAGAGCGCTTGTTCATGACCCAGAGTTATCGGGTTCGGGTTGACTCAACGGGTTAAGAAGCGTAATTAAAAATTAAAATTTTTGCTATTTAAAGATCATGTGATCCGAGCATTATTCAAAACAAAGAACAAAATCATAAAAGTTTGCAATTCTATTTGCAACATACCAAAAGAGAATTGCAATATACCTAGAAAAATCACCTTTTTGCAGCATACCAAAAAAAATTACATTATATATATATATATATATATATATATATATATATAGAGAGAGAGAGAGAGAGAAGGGAGATACACTTGAATGTTACTAGATTTAGATTAGGTTTTACGCCTTTTGAGTAGTCTAATGGTATATCATATTTTAAATGAATATATAAAACTAAATAACTAATAAAAATAAGCAATTAAGTGCATAACCCATCGGGTCAAACCCGACCCGACCTGTTCTGACCCGAAAATTTAACGGGTTTTTGGGTTCGGGTCATTTCGGGTTCGGGTCGCAAAATCAATGTTCAAAACCCACTAATTTCGGGTCGGGTTTCGGATCAATAACGGGTCGGGTCAAATTTTGACAGGTCTAGTATCTACCCCTTGGTTCCCATGACATTGGTTCCCAATGTCATGGGATGACCCGGGGGCGCTCCGGTGCCCCGTTCGTAAAATTGACGGTTCCTACCCCCCCCTAACCCTCCCAGTAAACCCCCCCACCCCGACCCGAACACATCACCCCACCCCCTTCAATTGCACCCCACAAGTTAATTTTGACTTTGGAGTCAAAATTTGACTCCAAAGTCAAAATCAACTTGTGGGTGCAATTGAAGGGGGTGGGGTGATGTGTTCGGGTCGGGGCGGGGTGGGGTGATGTGTTCGGGTCGGGGCGGGGTGGGGGGGTTTACCGGGAGGGTTAGGGGGGTAGGAACTGTCAATTTTACGAACGGGGCACCGGAGCGCCCCCGGGTCATCCTATGACATTGGTTCCCAATGTCATGGGAACCTTGCCCTAGTATCTAATATACAAAGTCAAAGCAAAAAAAATGAACCGTGCAAATTCCTTCCTAAACCACTCGGGTACGGGTTGGGTATCCAATTTCGGTAACGAGTTGGGCAAGAGGAAATCCAGATCGGTTTTGGTCAATGGTATTGAATAATTGTGTTAGATTTTTTTATTTTTGGGTTTGAGTGAAAACATTAATGTTGCCTATTGGGATATAAGTTTTGACGGCACCATGCCTCTTGAGATATGTATTTTGACAGCTTTCTTTCATTTTAATGAAGAGTACTTTTTAGGTTCGCGTGAAAATATTACTGTTGCCTATTGGGAAATGAATTTTTGACGGTTTCAAGCCCATTTGAAATCATAATTTCTCCTGGGGAATGACCTTTTTTAAAAAAACAAGAGTATTCAATTTCTGCAAAAGAGTTAAATATATTATTTTTGAGGTAGATGGTAAAAGGAATCTAGCTATTGATACACCTTGAGCCACGTGCCTAAAACCTATTAATGGTCAAAATAATTATGAAGTGGACTTACAAGGTAATAAACATTGAACCATGAAACAATCAATGGACATTCATCAATCCGGTATTGCAATAAACATGACCCAATTAAAAGATGGAGTATGATCTTTTTTAAACAAATTAGTTTCTTTAAAAGGAGAGTAATTTCAAAAAAGACTATGTACAAGTAATAGTTTTTTGGTAAAAAAACATAATTAGATTATTTTTAAAGAGTAAATTAAATTTAATCCAAGAATGGTAACATTTGGTGCACTGATCTATTGAACCATGAGAGATTGTGTAACCCAAAATACACATGTGTTGATGTCACCCATAAACAACCAAAATCCATATTAAACCCACTTGAACATCAACCCATCCTTTCCTATACCTTGAGCCGAAAATAAAGAGCCAAAAAACCTTAAAATCATGCTCCCAACACCAACCAACATGTGGCCCCCCTTGTCTTCTAAGGAGGCCGAAAATACAAGGTATAAATCAACAAAGGAAGCTTCTCACATTTTGACCTTGTAACCACCACATCTCCCCAACAGTAATAAGCCAAATAACCTCATTTCATTCACTCCCCTTTGTCCCCTAAGTGGGCCGAAATAATCCATCCCCGTCACCAATATTTAACATCATGTTATACATATAATATCCACCCTTCTTTGCCCCCTAAAACTACCGAAAACATCCCCTCAAATCACTCCAATATCACCCTGATGGACAATAAATCCACCCAATGATCCGATTCAGAAGAATGGATCACAAGAAATAAAATAAGAACAAGAACTCGAGAATTATATGTGTGTATTACTAGTTTGATTTAGCTTGAGCTTCCCCCTTTCGGGTCCCCTCTATTTATACATGGGTTCTTGATAATTAAGGTAATTCATAATCAAAGGGAGTCCACTCCATCGATGGCGCGATGCCCTTTTTCCGGCTTCATCTCCGTTCTTCACCTGAGTTTCCTCCCGTGGACTGGCTCCGCCAGCTATCTTTTGGGTTGAAGTGGTCCGGGCCTCGCGCTATGGGCCGGCCCAGGTCGAGGTATTTACCATGCGCTTGACCCGGAGTCTGTTGGATGATCAATTTGGGCCGCCAGCTGGATATCGGCCCATCACAAGCCCCCCAACTCCTCATTCCTCAAATGGGCCACACTGAGGGATGGGGAGTTTACGAGGTCCACGTAGGCTCTCCAGCACGGATTCGAGCCGCTCCTTGGGTTTAGTGTGACGTTTCGCACGATCTCCACTAAAAGTAATCATGGCCTGCTGCTTCGCCTTCCTACTATCTGATAAAACCGTCGCTGGACGCCAATCTTCCCCATTTTCCTTCTCAACTGCTCTTCATCTCTCCTTCCGTCGTTACCCAACCCGTTTTTCTTCTGCTTCAGGTCAGTTCCCTCTTTCGCCACCATGATTATCTCTGATTCTGATTCAGCTTCCCCGCCGTCCAATTCTCGCCAAGCCGATCAATCGGCCGCTGGCCATGACCTAGGTCAGACCCAATCGCCTCGGCCATCGCCGGCGGCCATGCCTAGCCAAAAGCGGCGCCAGTTGACGAAGCAATTTCTTCCCTCGAGGATGAGAACATCATGGCGTTGTGCCATTGCCAAATCACTGACCAGGGGTTCGCTGATGCCACTGACATGGTCGGACCCTTTATTGAAGTCCTAAGGCCCACTAGTACCCAGTATTGAAGTCACGGTTCTTTACAGTTCATCTGGCGTCTCTGAAGAAGGGGCTGCGATTCCCCCTCCACTCGTTGTTGGTTGAATTCCTCAACAAGGTGGACCTCCTTCCTTGCCAATTGGTCCTCAATTCTCACCGGTACATTACCGGTTATCTGGTCAGATGCAAGGAAGTAGGGGTGAAGCCTACCCTTGACCACTTTTTGTTTACATTCAAACTGACCAAAGGTCATGGGGATTGGGCGTCCTATGCCAGCCTATCCCAACGGTCCAGCAGGGTTTTTACCAGCGACAAGAAGGGGTCGACCAAGGACTGGAAGCCCTTCTTTGTCTTTGTCTCGACGGGGCCTGAATCTCCTTTCACGGGTTCAGGGCTCTCATCCTTCCGTCGCGTCCCATCTCCCCCGTCCGATGCCACCCTCTTGTCCATCACCCGGCAACTCTGCGGCCAGGGGGCCGTCGAGATTAAGAAGGTGGTGACCGAGGAATCTCCAGCAGCACTGGGGTTTGAGTTTGTCCAAGACGAGCATCGCCATCAGCCCGACTTGCTAAGGGATGTTCCTGGGTGAGGCGTTGACTGTGGTCCTTTTGGTAATTTCCTACTTTTCATTAGGGATCTTAAGTTTATTTCCTCCGGGGATTAACCGTTCCATTTGTTTTCAGTTGAGCCACGAGGATTAGAAGAAGAGATGGACAGTGAGCTTTTGCTCGGTCATTTCGTTACGGGGAGGAAGAGGAAGAGGGACGCGACCCGACACGGCAAAAGCATGTTAGACAAGGCGTGCAACTCTAGAGGGGGGGTGAATAGAGTTGTTGAGAATGTTTACCGATTTTCGCAGGATTAAATAAGATAAACGAAAGTGCAGAGGAAATAAAATAGAGAAGGCAAAGAACACACTGATGTATACTGGTTCACCACCTCGTGGCTAGTCCAGTTCCCCGAGAGACTCTCTCGAAGCTACCACTACTTTCGTTAAGCTTACGGGTGCTTAACAAACCGTTTACAACTCGAGAACTTGAATCCCACAAGCCTCGACACAACCGCTCGTAGATATGCTCTCTACAAGACTTCACAACCAAGACTTAAATCACATAAGCCTTGAACAACAAGAAGAACAATCTTCTTCAACCTCTCAGCAATAACTCTCACAAGAGTAGAAATGAGAAAAGATTAAGCTCTATGGATGACAAGAACACTCTCTTGAAAACACTTAGTTTTCTCTCAAAATATATCAATTTG